TTATTGCAGTTAGTTTTTCCCCTCGAATCATTCGCCAGTGCGATCAAAGATGATTCCTCCTTTATCCGAAATGAGAATAAATCCAACTTTTGTTGATTACTTTGACTAAATTGGGCTAAACTTCATTGGTTGATAGTTTTTACCATTTGCACCCCAAAGAAACGCCAAATGTTGACCTACCCAATCTAGTCTGCGGTTTTTTCATGATCGTTTGATTTTACAAATGCATGAACTACCGGTAGGAATGCCCCAAATGTACGCTAACTTATAAAGGTCGTTATACTCACCTCAGGCAGAGTGAGGGACTGCAACGAACAATGTGTGCAGTTCGTCACCAGCTGCGGGGTTCGTCAAGATTACCCTAGTTCGCTATTCCTATTCAATTTTTCGTAGACGTATTTCGATTATCGAAGTTTACGTAGTTCAGTCCAAACGGGATGGGGCGAACAAATATTCTGGAGGTAAACCGTCATATGTTTGGGTGTTTGTCAGGGATAAACCTGTTAGCTCAACGAATTCAGATTAGTAGGCTTCTCTGGCTAGGGCACGTATTGCGTATGCCCATCTGTTGTCAGACATACCGCTCTTCATTCCCTTAATTTGCTAGTGAATGAATGTGTGTGCAAAATGTTCAGTGAACAACAAGTTATTGCATCAGGATAAATGGATAGGGCAAAGCCAAGTAGCATTTGAAGTGGAAAGGATACGGAAAATGTTAGATAAAATGAATAAAACAAGTGTGAAAATGTGAGAAAAAGACAGTCAATGAAGCAAAGGAGAGAGTGTAAAATGTGTCACATAGGGCAATCATTCGGATGGCCATGGTAAGAGCAAAGTTTCCATTCTGTTCTAACTGATATGACACAATACCTATTGATCTGTTCGTGTCATACCCGGTGATTCACTAGGTTGGAAACATAATGTTGAGTGACGATACAAGAAAGATAAGAACCTAAGCGATGAAGCTGGGCAGCGAATGGAGAAGCCGCAGGTAACAGATTGTTGCCAATGGCATTGTGGATTGAATGTATTAATCAGCCGGGGAATGACGGAGAAAATGTGATTCCCGTTAATTAGTGACTAGGTTCGAATTTGATCTTACTATTCAGGTGAAATAGTGTTACTTCTTTCAGCATTGTTACCATTGTTAATTATCTTGTCAAGTGTGCATTTCAATGTCAGAAATACGTAAGCAATCACTTTTGATTCCGAGGAATCGGTTTTATTCGAGAGAAACTCGGTCTCAATAGAATTTACTCATTGGGTTATTGAGGACTTAGACTGACTCCACTCATGCAATGAATCATGCTCACATTTACGTCTGGGCATGGTGAATGACTTATCGATCCATCTCGATGTGATTCGCTTCCTTACCCGACCGACCGACCGACCGACAGAGATCAATTAACTCCGGATTCGTTCATTCGTATCTCTCACGCACACTCGATCAACGATCAGGAACGTAACGTTCTCGGGTGGAACGGGTATGTGGAGGGTCGGGGTTAGAACGGTCCACCTCCCCCCCCCCCCCCNTTCTCCCCGAAACATTCATCCTCGCTCGTGAACTCAACTAGATTCGATTGGAGTAAACAGTATGTCATCTGTGCCTCCCGTCGTTGCTGTCGATCCACTCTGAACTAACTATCACCGAAGACGACCCCGGAACAAACGTGAATTGGCAATTTGGTTCAGCCATGGTATGAGCCGGTTGGCGCAGTGGTAACGCACACGCCTTCCATGCGATGGGTCCGGAGTGCAAATCCCGGACAGGACGGTGGATATGCACTACTGATGAGCTTTAATAAGAGCGAAACTAGAGTCTAGTGCTTCCGAGTGTATGGTTGAATCGATGAACTGAGGATTGTGCGTGAATGTGAAATCCGAAAGCTAGTCAGCTCAAATTATTAAGTCAATCAAAAAGGACTTTGTTTGTTTACGAAGAAGTTAGTTCATTGAGCCTGGACGGGGTTTAGACAGACCCGGTCAAATCGGTGACCTTTGACGGCCGAAACACTAATAATCTTGTAGTGTTTTCAATGGAGTGTGATTGGTTGAATTCACTTGAAGTTACAACGGATTCATTTGAAGTTGAAACGTTATAAATTACATAGTCAACACCTTTCCTTTTCGTTGTAACTTCAAGGGAATCCAACTAATCGCATTCCAGTGGGAACCCCGAAAAACTATTGGCGTTTCGGCCGTCAGACGTCAACGATTGAACCGGGCAGCTGCTCAGACCGTTTTCCATTTTCCGAGTGGGTAGCATGTTAGCGTTCTGCCAATGAGGTCCCGGGTTCGATCCCCAGTTGGATCGATGGATTCGCACTGCTGATGAGACCCAACCAGGTCGAAACAGCTGTCCGATACTTTCTAGCTTTCAGTTCACGTTTCGTTTGCCATATACACGACGCATTTCGCCCTTGAACCGGATCTGTCTAAACCCCGTCCAGTCCGAATGAATGGTTTCTGCGTAAACAGATAAAAGTACTTTTTGAATGATTTACCGAAGATGGATGAAATTTTCGATGGGATTGGTCTCTTTGTCCCCCCACCATCACCCTTGGACGTTGACAGTTGATCATGCGAGCTAGGATGATCGAACCAGGCGGTGGTTGACATCGTTCG